GTCCAAAGTAGAGTAGTCAAAGTTCATCTTGTCAAAACAAAAGTATACAGAACAAAATCTAAATGCCATCTCATAGTTTCAAATAAATAAATAATATAAACAATCAACAGTCGTATTGAAATAGTTAATTATTGAACAATCAGAAAGCGTCTATAAGACTATAACTATGACAACCACAAAGTCTTTTACGATTTTGATCACATTCATATGGTTGTTTAGTTTTCAAATTCTGTTTTATTGTTTCTGCCATCATCTATAGAGAAGAAAATAGATGCTTTGAAATATCTAAATTTATTCATGGTTTAATACTTTCATTTCTTTAAGCTATCAGCATAGCGCCTTCTATTATTGATAATTCCATACATTGGATTGTTTATGCATCTAACAAGCTTAGACAGAAGGGGACAAAAGTGAATGCAGATTTGTTCAGCAACTTATGTGGCAGTTATCTGCAGCAGGTATACCTATTAATGTTATTTTCTTTTGTGGACCTATAGAGCATTATTTATATCCTGATATAAATTTCAAGCTTCAGATTTGCCAAAGTCAGACCACATACATGATTGTACATGTCTGAAAGTCAGACCACATACATGATTGTACATGTCTGATAAAATGCATACATTTAAATATTAGTTTTATATGGATGATTATATTTTAAATCTTCAAATGTAAAGATTATCTCTTTTATTGCATTATGATGGATATTCATATGTCATATTAGACCCCTTGCATTTGTTACATGATTAATTACAAGTTTTATGCAAGAATGCACTTGTAAAATTTTAAAGCACATGTGTAATATATATATATATATTAAAATATCAAAATGATATGTTTAAGAGGTGGTACTAGAAAATGGCCATGTAAATTTGGATGGTCTTCTTTGTAGACAACCAATTTAAATTTGGAAGATCTCTTTTATAGGCAACCAATTTAAATTTGGAAGATCTCTTTTATAGGCAACCAATTTAAATTTGGATGGTCCCTTTGAAGGCAACCAAATTTGCAACCTCTTATAATAGAAAATTTTAAAAATTATGTATATGAAGTATGATGTATATTTTAAGATATGAAATCCTATTATAAGGTTCTCTTTAATGCTTTGCATGTTTCTATTAGTAATGTCATTCTTATATGTGCATATGCATGCATGTGAAGATATAACTAAAGTATTTTAGTTTTACTTTATGGGCCAATTTCTAATCTGCACAAACCCTATGCAGTTACATTTTCAGACATAGAATACGATCTTTTATGCTCATAGACCATGACCTTTTATGCTTACATGTTGCATTCAAAAATGCTGTTTAATTTTCTTGCTGCTAAATTGATTCCTCTATCTTTTAAACTCTAAAGGTTCTATTAGCAATGTTGGGATTTAGTTCTTTAAATGTACAACATATTGTGTTCCCAAAGAACACGGAAGTAATGACAAACCCTTTGTGCTTTTGTTTTCTATTCATTCCTTGATAATATTTAATCATTACAATTTCTACTTGACATGAGCACATATCAAATTTGTTTAGACATTTAAAATAAATATGTCTAATTATTATAATCCATTGTTTATTGATAAGAGACATCAATAACTATGCTAACATGTTTTGATAGTGACTAAAAGAATCATTTTATAGCTCTTCATTTGACTACATGTATAATGCTTTCTCTTGAGATTTTAGGAAATGATTAGAGTTGATATAAATATGCTCTGTCAACTAATATGCCTAGTTACAGGAGATGTGATGAATCAATGTCCTGGAAAATCAAATCAAGAGGTATATCTTATATCTTCTATCTATATGATGAATAAAAGTTCAAAATCACTGAAGTTATATTGAAATTAGTCCATTAAATAATTAAAATTGCTATTAGGTCCCTTTATCATTATAAGTTGTTTCAAATCAATCCCTCCTCTTGCTTCCTGTACTCTTTCCTGGAAAGATTGATTTAAAAAATGACTTAAACAAGAAGGGTACCTAATGTCAAATAAAGGACTAATTATAAAATAACTTGATAAATATATACAATGCCTACTAAGCAAAGTTGTGATTCTAGACTTTGTAAAGTCTAAAAAGAATCTTGATGACCCTTTGACTAAGGAATTATCCAGGAGTGTGGTTCTGGATTCATCGAGGGAGATGAGGTTAAGCCCATAAGAGAGGTCACTGACAGTGGCAACCTAACCCTTATTTGGAGACTTAGTCCCAATGTTGGTTCAATGTGGTAGAAATAAGCTAGACTAGTAACACTCGTGTGGAGCATCGACCTAGATATATTCATATATCACTATGTAGCTTGTGCTACTACCCCTTCTCTATGATGATGATGCTTTTATGATACAGCTGGCTAGGCTGAGTTTTACTCTTAATAAGTCCAACGTGTGTATTATGGGGGGTATTAAATAAATAGTTGTAGTACCCTTTGACGACTTACTTACGTGAGAGAAACCATGATGGTTGCGGTTAGGGGAGCTGGGCTAGCCCCTAGAAACTCTCATGAGCCGGTTATTGTGAGCATGACCTTTAATGCTCAACCCGTTTTGCTTAATAGATGAAGGCATATTGTGTGTGTTTTTGTCAATACGTGATTCAAGGGGCCTAATTCAAGGCCTAGTCCATTATGTCTCTCAGGTGGCGATAAACTCACTAAGGAAAGGTTTAAAGCTGGAAGCTACCTCTCCCGAATTCACGATACGAAAGGTTGCCCAACATATATTTGTTTTATGATTTCTTGATTTATTTATTAGTTTTGAGTTTTCAGTCAATATTGCCTTTTGGGGGGGACTGTTGGATATTTATTGAGAAAATACAATTTTGCCTTTGTGTTTTAGTCCCACATCGGAAATTGGAAAAGAATTCTCTCTCCCTCAACCCTATAAATGCACACCCCTTATTCACATTCCAAAAAGAAGAAGAGAAAGGAAAAAAAATAAAGCTTTTCTCGTCCCCTTTGGTTTTTAAAGAAATTGTTTTTTCCCTCTATAATTTTTGTTATTAATTTTATGGGCAATCTTCTTCATCTGAGCTGAAGCTCTGTACTCTCACCCTAATACTGAGGCAGACCGTTTCCGGGGGCTTTTACTGCTAGGGGGGAGGGAACCATTTGCGCCAGAGCGATAGGCGGGTTCTCAATCTTCTAGGGCAGTGATTATACGACTGCTTCCCGTCAGGCCTGATTTTTCTAACTTATATTATTTATCTTTAGATTTTATTCTGATTTAATTTACATGCTATAACCTTTGTTTTTATAAATTTCCAATATAAGCATGAATGAGAAATGAGAATTAGCATTCTAATCATACCTTTTCTAGCATACTGAACGAGGCTTTAGTGTAGAGAATGGAAAGAAAAGAGATACTACATGACAAATATATCACTTGATTAACGCACATCCATTTTTTTTAGGGTCAATACTATAGCACTGGGAAAACTTTACTTAAGTTTCAATTCCTCCTTCCCAAACCCGTCTACTTTAGGAGGGTTGAGAAAGTAAGAGAATTTACATATTTTAACCCTTCTCTTCCCTCTCTTGACTAATCAAAAGTTGTAAATAAATATAACTTTGAGTTTGCTTTATAACTAGAGTGCATAGGAAGCTTAATTTATTGCCTAATATTAGTTAAAGGCTACTTGGCACTTGCATACCTTGTAGTTTTGCCTAATTTGCTCTTATATACTGATCTCACATTTTTGCAGCATTAATATAACTTTTTTTATACCTTGATTACTTATGTTTATGACTAATCTACCTAATGTTGTCACGTAACATTCACATGTTGATTTAGAACTTTTTAGCATTTAATTTTGTAGAATTTACAGGCAAGTTTAGTTGAATTCTATTTTAAAATATAGCTGAGATATATTCTACAGTAATTTCAAGAACTAATTAGCCATCCTTAAATTTTATTGCAATTTATCATATTGGAATTATTACTACATTTTGACTAGTTGGCTCCACGTATCCAAGCAAGCGCCGATGTAATAAGTTTAGATATTCAAATAGTTAACACCAGCAACCACAAATGTTGTTGGCTAAAAGGAGGATCTCGTTTCCCTCTCTAATCACGTGGTAATTAGTTAGAATCTAAGTATTCAACTTTTTTTTTTTCTTTTACTCCAATTCCAGGGAACAAGATTAAGCCATATAGGATTTCCTCTATTGCATAGTGACTCTCACAGTAACATTTTTCAAGATAATATTTCAAGACAATAATGAATACTTTAGATTTGATCAGGATTTGCTATTGTCTATTATACCTTTTTCATTAATAACATGTATTTAATTTTTGGAGAGTTTCTAAGAATGTATTTGACAATCTCTTAAAGACGGAGCCAGGGCTAATCCTTCATAGTTTCATGCAAAATTAGTTTTAGTTTGGACCATGATAAAAGAGTTAGTGCAAACTAAAAATTGGTTTACTACGAATTTTTTGGTCCACATTATAGCATAACTTTAGCCACCAAATAGTTGAATGCTCTGACAATATTAAGCCACGCTAAAAACTACAGGCAAGACCATCAAATATCCAAATTAATTATAATTAATTTGACATAATGCCGTGAGCTTTTTTTTTGGGGTGGTTCCACGTGACCCCCCCCTCAACTTTCGAGAGTCTTATTAAACCCTCTTAGACATTAACATTTTCTTCCGCTGACCTCTACCCATAATTTGCAGATAACTAAAATGTTCTAGTGAGAAAAATATCAAAATTTATCATTTGTCATTTACAGGTAACATATTTCTTCCCTTAAAATTTGATTTTTTTTCTCTAAAGAAAATTTTATTTACTTGTAAATTTTTTAACATTTATTCGCAACATACCTCTTCTCCTAGTGCGAAGTTTAGCAGGATTTTGTGAGATTAAAAAAAAAAATCAAAGAGTTATGCGGAACTGCCCCAAAGTTCGAGGGGGTTACCCCAAAGTTCGAGGGGGTTTCGTGAATTTAACCCTCGTCTATCCTCAACTTTCCCATTCATAGGAAGAACCAAGGCTTTCAAAAAAGTCCTAATTTTTTTGAGCTACAAAAAACCCTAAAATCCTTGAAATTGGGGAAGATGATGACCAGAATGATCCCATTCTCTAAGCTTTCCTCCATTATTATGATTCATTTGAGATGGCACCTCACGAAGCTAGGGCTCAGATTCATTCAGCTCTCGGCTCTCTATGTTGCCTACATGTCCCCCTCTTTATGTTGTGCTTTATCATAATTTTCTCTTAATCGTCTACAATTATGAAATTTTGATAACTTTATTATGCAAGTTTAATAAAATGCGGGAAATTTGGGTGAACACGTGGGTTCATTTGATTTATTTAATTGATTTTTTTTAACAAGCAATTGGGTTGCCATTATTCCATAAAATTAGGGGTGTATTTGCAGTACTTTTTGTTTGAACCACGACGTTCGTACATTCTTCCCGCTTTCTCTTTCTGTCTTACTGTGTTCAAGGAAAAGAATTCAGCTTTCTTCTCACGACCCAGAAGCCATTTCTGCTAATCCTCAAGTAAATTCCCTTAATCCCCTTTGGTTGTTTCTGCTAATTTGTCCTTTATGTGATTGATATATTGTGTTCTTCTAATTTCATTGGAATATTTCTGCATGGGTTTGCTCTAATCTTACTGCCCAATTGATTAAAATCTTCAAGTTTCATGCATATTATTGTGTGGGTTCTTTTCAAAACTCTGATGGCGCAACTGGGTTTTCTCTAGACATGTTAATTTCTTTTTGCTTCTTTATGTTTGTTCAAGATTATAATCTACTTGATTACATTCTTTTTTCGTCATCGGTTAAAATCTTGTGTTTTAACAAGAAATTAATTTGTGGGTTCTTGTAAAAAACTCTGATGTATCAAGATTTTCCTTTCTCCAATCTTACCTATTATTGCGGGAAATCTCAGAATTTAATCCTCTTGAATTGGATCACGTTCTTGACCAAGAACCGATGGCGAGAACGAAGAGTCAAAGCCGCCCTCGTCCCCGTCCCTACATTTGTAGACATCATACTGGCGGAAGCATTAAGAGGGAGCGAATTCTCGGAAGAATCAAGTCTTCTGCGAGCATGGGCTTTGCATGTCAAACATGTAATAATAAGGTAAAGGATAGTCTCGATATGCCACCGAAGAAGAGGATGGAAGTAGTCCCTGAGGGAACTGTTCACTGGGTTTGTTGGATTTGTGAAGAGAGTTTCTGTGGTGTTGAGAATGAATATGGTCCTAGTGGCCATGCATTTGATCATGGGAAGAAAGATAAACATTCATTTTCTATCCGAGTAGACAAACCGAGTGAATTATATTGTTTTGTTTGTGAGATATATCGACTGGTTACAACTGAGGAAGAGAAGAATTTGGAGGACGAGGACAATGAGAGGCCAAAAATGTTTGTCAGAAAATATGCGAAAGGAATGCAGCAGCAAAAATTCAATTATCCATGTAGGTTTAAGGGTTTGCCTAACCTTGTGAACACATGCTACTTCAACGCAGCCTTGCAAAATCTTTTTGCCATGGACAGACTTGGGCAGTGTCTTGCGAACTTGGAGATGCCTGTTGGCTATGTTACTGGAGCATTAAAGAGGCTCTTTAATGAAACATATGATGATTTCAGAGTTACCATACAGCCTCAAGAGCTCCTTGATTTTGTTCAGAAGGACCAGAGATTTGTGGCTGGGATTCAGCATGACAGTCATGAGTTGCTCCTATATTTGCTTGATAAGTTGCAGTCAGAAGGAATGAGTTTTGTGGATGAGATATTTAGAGGAGAATTCTCTAGTATTCTGTGTTGTGATCGATGTGGAAAAACTTCGACAACACATGATCCTCTTCTCGATCTTTCACTGCAGATTCCTACAAAGATACATCCGAATGAGAGGAATGAAATTATTTCACCTAAGACTGATGTGCCTTTGAAGGTACATCCAAATGAGAGGAACGGCATTATTTCACCTAAGATTAATGTGCCTGCTGTGGAGAAACATGAAGGAAGCCAAGATGGAGGGGTTATAGAGAAATCTTTGACTGTTGACAGTGATGAAGAAGTAAATGTAAATGTATGCTCAATCAAGCCTGCTGTGGTTTTTGACACCACTATACCAATTTCTTGGAATTTAAATGCACTTAACCATGATGAGGTTTGTGAGGTTGATGACATGAGTGGTCCTCTGTCAATTGAGAAGTGCTTGGTCTTATTCACAGAACCTGAGGATCTGCTTGACAATCACTGTGTTCATTGTTCACCGCCTCTTCAACACCAGAAGCCATCAGAAGCATCTGAGTTTCAAGGTAGCAGAGTTAAATCTGAAAGTGAGAAGAATTTAGGTTCACCAAGCAAAAGCAGTAATCAGCAGGATGTTGGATGTAATGGCCACATTTTAGCTCCTTCACTTGGAAATGAACAGCTAAGAAAGGATGAGGATATGAAAACGAAATGTAAGGAGGTCAAGAGGAAATTAATTAAAAAGCTTCTTTTTAAGAGGCTCCCATTTATTTTAACAATTCAGCTAAAGAGATTCTTCCAATTGAAATCTGGAAAATTCAAGAAAATTGAAGGGCACGTTGTCTTCCATGAAATGCTTGATTTCATGCCATATATGGATTCCAGGTATCATTCGAAAGCTTTAAATTGCTACTAGAACTGTTATATTTCCTTCAAATTGCAGAACTTTTACGTTGATGATTTATACCAAAGCAGTTGCTTGTTGTTGCTGGTACTGCTAATTTTTATGTTTCATTCAAAAATTTATGGATATAGCAGGTATTGCTCTAAAAGCTTTTCGTTACTTCTTTTCATTCTTAAGTTGGAATGCTAATTTGTCAGTAGACCTGTTGTTTTTCACTGAGATCGCCTTCAAGTTCATTCTCAGCTTTAATTCCTAATCTCTCTACTGAATAACTCTCCATTTATTAATATTGTAATTAGGCCTACAGTTATGCAAGCATTAATGATGCATATGCATCTATTGTGGTCGTTGTCTTGTTAAATTTACAGATATATTCTTTTCTTCAACGGATAGTTTGAATCTTGAGTTATATATAACTATATACATACATCATACTCTTGTAAATGTATAAGTATTTCTCAAAAGCACGAGTTGATTAATGTATGCCATTGTTCATCCTGTCAAATCATTTTCTATCTATAGGGGTTGGCTATGGAGTGCATGGGCATGTTTTGTGACTCTTTTCCCTCTGGCGTTCTATTTGTAAGGAGGGGGAAAACAATCTTCTCTTTCTCTGAGAGTAAAAGAGTTAAAAAAAAATTCACTAAGGTGTCTATCTGCAACGATAGAACTATAGGGGGTTCAATCTGCATTTGGGAGATAGTACCAGGCGTCTATTTGCAATTAACATATGGTCAAGCCTTAAATCTGCATGCTAAATTTGTGGTGAAACTCCTACAAAAGGAAAATATTCAAAAGGGAGAAACTCAGCTTAAGTTCATAAAGGCTAGTTGACTGGTGGAAAGGTCCACTTTATTCAGCAATACAACTTAAGCTTATCCAACCACGAAGCAATATTCCAAACCAGTCATAGATTTTTAAGATGTCTTGAAGAGGGGGACGATAAAAACTTCTACAGGGAGTTACATTCAACTTATATATCTATTGATTTTAAATTATACTATCTTAAATTTACTTTAGAATAAATAATAGGTTCATATCAGTTAATATTGCAGTTGATATGTATGCGATGTACACGTATATGTGTGTGCCTGTGTGTATATTATGGTACTCATGAAACTTGCTCACTGTTGTGGATTACCACAAATCTATTTCATATAGTAAGATTTAATATATTGAATTAAATGTCATGATATATGAAGTATAAAAGGAACATAACATTAAGATTCAGTCAGGTTAATTCATAGCCAAGAAGTTATTTTGTTCAATATCACTAGGGTGAGAAGGTCTAAAATCTGAGGTGAGTTTAAGAAAATCAGAAACATAACATGTCAGCTCACAGTACAACTTTAAATCTTAATTTCAATTAACTGTGCCAGCTAGCTAATTTTATACTAATCTCCTCATGTATAATTACGAACTAAAAGATCAAGAAAGGGGAAAAACAGGATAGATGTAAAAGGAATTGAGAAGAAATGTACATTGAATAAAATGTAGTAATTTTGAATCCCATTTATATGATGGGAGGTGGCCGTCGCAGAATCACTCCAGTGAATAAATATTAATATATTTCAAATACTATGAGACTAAAAAGATTAAAGATCCGGTGCTTAACATTTTATATGACAACACAGTTAATCCATCTTTGTATCCTCAACAGCCTTGTTTTAACCAAAGTTCAAATTTTGTGCTAGTTTCACGAATCACTATTGTTTACTGTGTTTTTTTTAATTTCTTTCTTCTGCATGCAGCATGATAATGAAGATTTTCATGTTAAAATGATTTTAAGCCTACTTTAGAATATCATGTTGGGAAGCCTTTTCAACTTATATATTATCCCTATTTATGTATTCATTATTAACATTTTTAACGTGGGGTTTCTATTATGTTAGAACCCCTCTGTCATCTCGTCTCTCACACATAATTTTCTGGGTTTTTTTGCATATATACGCCTCATATCTTTAGTATTTGCAAAATTTCCCATCAAGTCTTGGTATTTGCAAAATTGCCCCTCAAATCTAACATATTAGGTCTTTCTACTACTACCACTTAAAAATGTTGCTCTTAAAACAAGACAATGTCAAAATTCCCAATAGTTTCCAATAGGTTTGCAATAATTTCCCATTTTAAAAACTAAAATTGGTAAGTGAGAGGGGTAGGAAAAATCAATGTGAGAGAATTGTGTGGCAATTTTGCAAATACCAAGATTTGGAGGGTGGTTTTGCAGATATGGAAGATTTGAGGGGTATATATTCAAAAACCCCTAATCAAAATATAGATGCATAAACTACTTTATTTTATTTTTTCACGAAGGTCTTCAACCATCCTCCTCCAGTAGTTCCCAGATGACTTTCAACTGAAAGCCACCATGATGCATGGCATTTTACGGGATTGAAACTTAGATTAGTTTAAGAAAAAAATATCTCAAGCTAAAGTTTTGCTCTTTGATTAAGGAGTTTAAAGTTTAAACTAATTGTATTTCTGAAAGACTTGTGTTTAATGCAGCCTACTTATTTGGTTGATTGCATCCAAAAATTAAAAAAAAAAATCCTTGTACTGATGAATCCCCTCTTCATGCCATCAGAGCTATAAAATAATTGCATTTGCTGGTGGCATGATAATTGTGCTTTGAAACATGCTGATATGCACTCCTTCGTATCTCAATCTCCAGACTCATATTTCATTCCATCTCCAATTTAAAGTAAGAAAGATATACAATTTAAGATACCGTCACAAACCAGTATAGTGCCAGCGTACCCAGCAGACAGGACTATTGTCTATTTGGATGGGTAAAAATGCATGACATGTCACATTTACATATTGCGAGTTACCAAACTTGGTATGAAAACTTCTCAAATGCTTGTGGTTAGGTGATATTTTCATATTATGAGCTATCAATCTTAGAATCTTGGGCATATGCAATGCATAAAAATTTCTACTGTTTTGTGGATCCCGCGTTGGATATAGCCTAGGCTAGCAGGTCAGAATAAAACCTAAAGCATGCCCAGCATCATGTCAAACTAGTGCTTTGGTTCTTTGTACTGAGTATGAGGTGTGCTATTTCAGATGCGACACCATTACAAATAGGGGCATCGGCTCTCAGTGCATTTACAACACTCTAGGATCATTCTAACAATTATGCATACATTCTTTGTATGCATGTTGATGAAGAAGGCATTCTTTTTTAATTACATTAAATAACTCAAGTTCAAACTCTAAAGATCGAAGCCACAGTGTAGGTCTTGAGAAGTAGATTGTGACTCAAGGAGGCTAGAGATCAGGTAACTTTATATCACACCAATGTTAACACATGGTCCTTATGAAAGAAACTAATTGTTGTTAGTAATAATAAGGTGACAAATAAGTATAAAGGATGGGAGGTGTTGATACTTATGAGTTTTCTTGTCAATCAAACTTGAGTATGTCCTTAGAATCTTAGATCATGTTCCTGTAGTACATGCACTACATAATGGCAAACTATTTTGCTTCTCCAAATTTATTTATAGTCTATCTTGTGCCAGTACTTCAACAAAGGAGACATACCTGTATTGAGTAAGTATCTATTTCATATACTTGATGTATTATGAAATTTTAATGTATTTGAGATTAAGAAGTTGAGGTTAAGAAAGTTAAAATTTGAATGTATGATGATGGATCTGATTCTATCACATTTCTAAACATATTATATTCAACTGAATTTTCCAGTTACTTATTAAAGAATCCTAACAAGAAATACGAATATCAGATATTTATACTGTAAAATACTTTAAACTTTCTATTATGGTATCAATCTATTCCTACCTGAAAACTTTTATATTTTAGATTTTATCAAGCTGCATGGATGTATGTCACATTGTCATCCTATCAGTAAATGTGCATCATAGTTCAATGAAAAATAGTTCACTATTTGGAAATTGAATTCCAAATCTTTCTAGGATTAACAAGTGACTGTTTTGAAGATTAATTCAAGTCAATCACAGAAACGAGGGAGGCTAGTTTACCTCTCTTCCTATGAAACATAGCATACATGATATGTTCTCCACTCTTTGCAGTGATCTTATCCTGTCCACATTGATATATGGTAAAAATAACACTGATAGGGTTCACTGATGCAAAGAATATAATAAACATGCACATTTTGGAAACTATGACATATTGTTACATCAAACTGGAGAAGTTGACAAAATTTCACTGTTAAGCGTGACTAAGCCACTTAATGGTAGGATGTAGCGAATGCTTAGCTTGTAAAGCCGTGGGCTGCAGTTTAGAAGTAAATATCCTGCTTCATTTATTGCTAATCAGGAAAAGGACTAGGATAGAAAACATGAGCATGAATGAAATGGCTTGGCATAAGTTAAGTTACGCTTTTAGGTTTGTTCATTTTCGATAAGTCAAAATTTTCGAAAACATGTGAAGATTGGTTTGTTCACTTTCACAGAGTCACATTGCTGGAAAACTTTGCCTCAAACAGAGCTCTTAATAGCTGTGAAAATCACCACGATTTGCTATTGGTTATCATTGTTATTGTGCCATATTAGTTGCAGTATTTTTACATGGGTGTTTAGAAGATCTTTGCTCCATATTATTTATATTTGGTGGTTTGATCACATGCAAAAACCAAAGACGCATCAGCAATGTAGAGAATTTTCATATTTGCCTTCAAATGCCACTTTTAGATAGTTCTAATTCTTTTACAATGGTTTCCTGAAGCGTAAGATTTGTTCCCTTCTCTTTTCCTTTAACTTTTGGAGTGTAAAGGTAGGGGGCTAAAAAGTTTAAATCGAACTGTTTTTTTTCATATTTCATTAAATGATCAACTACAAGTCTATAGTAATTGTAATTTCCAATGTGTATACGCTTTAGATTGTTCACATTTTTTCCTCTTCGAGACGTCTTCCCTTGTTTTCAGTTCAAATTCTTATGATCCTTATGAGAGGGAATTTGCAGCAGTGTGTTCTCTATTTAAAGCTGGACTAAAATTTTCATTGTCTATCTAAACAATTAAGCATTCTTTCCCATTTAATTGCAGATTTGTGGGGGAGGAGAAGTATGTCTATCGTCTCATAGGAATCGTGGAGCACCTGGGATCCAGCATGACTTTTGGCCATTACGTTGCATACGTAAGAGCAGAACAAAACCAAGAGGGGAAAGACTCCTGGTTTAAGGCTGATGATACTGAAATAGAGGAAGTTTCACTAAAAGAAGTCCTTAAAAGAAATGCATATCTTTTGTTCTACGAAAGAACGTGCTATTGAGGTATGCTTCGACAAACCAACAGATCTAAAGATCCACAAACCAACCGATCTAAAGATCCCAACTCCTGTCAAAATTTGCTTTATGCTTGAGAACACGAAGTAATTCCTAATTTGTCTGTAGTTATTGTGAATATCCTCAGCAAGTTCAATGGAGAAATTTTGTGGCCCATGTAATTGCATAGTAACAATTGTTAGGAAAATATCGTGGGGTTTTACACACTTCTCTTTATTATGCTTGTGATGGTATCCCAAAGCTATTTGATCAGTTTCTTGCCAGATCTTTGACAAAATTTGGAAGGCTATTATATAAAATGGATACTTCAGATATCCTTCTAAGATATGCAAACAAACTATTTTGGTCATTTTTGTGAAACATATGTTGGGAGCCATCTTTTTGTCATTGAAGATTGTCTTGCTCTTGTGCTGATTGCTTAAGATTAAGTATTCATTGCTTATCACCTTGGGAATATTTTCCATTAGATAGAGTTAGAAGTTATATTTGTTTTAATTATTCAAAGGGCTTTGATTGTTGATAATATCTCAAGATATTGTGTTCCCTAGTTGTGGCTTTTACTGAAGTGGTTGTCTAGCATGATAATGGAAAGACGATTTTCATTTTGTATTGCAATGTCAAAATAGCGTTTGTTTTCCCTCGGTATTAACTTCATTTCTATTTTCTTGTACTTCCTTCTGATTTTGTTGTGTCATTTCTATTTTCTTATACATTTTTTAAAGCCTAGATTGATTGCATTGTAATTTGCATATAGCTTACTCTCCTTTTACTTTTATAGCATATCAATTTCATACCCTGAAATTACAATAGAGTGAAATTTACAATAGAGCTACTTTTGGGTTATAACTTATAATTGAAAAGCATATAATTCACAGCTAGCCAACCTAGTCAGCATTGAATTTTAATTCCCTTGGACCCTGCACCAATTAACATACGCCAGTAATCAGATAGTCTTGATTTTAATTCTTTTCTTACTATTCAAGGATCCTTTGTTTTCAAAGGAAATTACAATTTTCAAGTTGTTGCATAGAACAACGGATGGTAAATGAATGATCTGTGAACACTTCGACCCAAATGTACGTCATCTGCTTGAGATTATCACGTGTTATATGGTTGACACTTCTCATTATTGATATATATCTTGAGGTTGATTAATTGCATTTTCTTGCTGCAGTTGCAGGTGGGGTTCTCGCTTCTGTAGTAGCTGACACATAGGCAATATAGGTGTTGTAGATGTTTTGTTGACGTCGCTTTTTTATATGAAGATGGATTCAAAATCCATTTTTTGTAATACAGTTAGTTTGGGCATATTTTTAGACATTTCTATGTTGGTTTGCATATAATTCAAATTGTTATATGTCTACTTCTCTCCTGTAGAAAGTAAAGGCATCTAGTGAAGGAACTGTTCATCTTCTCTCTAGCCATATTGCCTTTATTTGAAAAATCAATTTAATATTTGGTCAAGAAATTTTTAGTCATTTCTTTATGTACATTTATACTTCTGTCTGCTACTCTTTTTTCTTTTATCTTTCTTATTGGTGAATAATAAATGAGATATGTCTGGTTGAAATGTGTCTCTCTTATATTTATGGGCTGATGTTTTCCTCATACGATGTCACATTTCATTTTCATAAATTTGTTCTCTTTTATGTTTACATGTATATATGCAGTTTGCAACAACTATATTATATTCTCAACTGCTAATGTGTTATCTAAGTGACTGTTGGTGCTAAATGTCTATGATAGTGTATTCTTATAATTTGATGTTGTTCAATGCCAAGTGAATGCCAATTTTAATCTGAGTGCGATTTTATTTCAATTTTTCTGTTCTCTCTCTCTCTCTTTTTTTTTCAAAAGGCAGGTAGGGTAACCTAACCAGTTAAGTCCTCAACAACACTCTGTCTCAAAAACAAAGGGACAAACAAATCAAAAACAAGATGACAAACAGTCAACCGACTTAGCTAGGAAATAAGCAACTTCATTACTAGTGCGCCTTACATAAAAAACTTTAGAGTAGCCAGTAATAGTCAGATCAACGCGAACTTCATCTACAATAGGAGCTAAGAAAGCAAAAGGAGAAGGAGAGTCCACCAAGGAGACAACCTTTAGAGAGTCAATTTTCACCACTGAAATCCTCCAATTTATATGCCGAACAAAGCGAATGCCTTTCAGGACAGCCAACAACTTCGCATGATCCACAGACATAGGACCCCTGTTCCCCATAGAGTAGCAACCAATCATATGTCCATGGTGATCCCGAATAATACCTCCCAAACCAATAATATCTTCTTCCAGAGGAACAACATTATCTGTGTTGAGCTTTCGCAAACCAGGAGCAGGGGGTACCAAGCATAAGGCTATTTGGAAGGGGTGACAATGTCACGGGAGAAACCTCTAACTCTATCCCATTCCTCCACAAAACAGTGAATCCGAGTCACAAAGACCGAGGCCTCTCTAACACCACCACCATGAGAGCAAATATTCCTTTCCCCCGATATAAACCACATGGTTGTGAAAGCCAAAGCCATAGAGTCTCCAGGGCAAAAGATGTGAGATGGAAAATAAAATCACCACAAGACGTGCCTCGAAAACCATTAATCACTTCCCAAAGATCTAAGGACTCCTACACTAAACGAGCAAAGGAGCAGACAATGAAGATATGAAGGGTGGTCTCAAAGGTAGCAGAGCAAAGGCGGCAACTAGGGGGCACAGAGATCCTCCTGCGAGATAAACCAGCTGAGGTGGTGAGAGCATCATAGAACAGACGTCAAAGGAACACTCTAATCTTGGGTGGGATCTCCGCATGCCAGATCAATGACCACCACTTCGCTACCCTAGATCCGAGGTGGAAGTAGTATCAGGCATAGTGTGGCGAAGAAGTTGGTATCCACTCTTGACTGTGTAGCACCCCTTCTCCTCATAATGCCAATTGAGTCTGTCAGGGACAAGAGAAGGCGACGGTAGGATAAATAAAATATCCTCCCGACTTACCTGGCAAAAGGAGGTAGCAATCAGCTCATGATTCCAAGTACCCGAAATGGAGATCAGCTCAGCCACCATACTGGAAGGGTCGATCGGAGAAGTGATTGGCCTGAAATAAATGGGTCTTGGGATCCATGGGTCAGCACTGATAGAGATATTCTGTCCATCACCTATCCTCCATCTCAGATCTCAAGCCAGGAGCTCTCTCCCTTAGATAATGCTCCGCCATAAATAAGAGCAGCCAAGGCCAACACCAGCTCAAAGGAAGTCTGAGTCCCTAAAATACTTCCCCTTCAAAACCCTACTAGCTAGAGAAGAAAGGTCCTGAATGATTCTCCATGTCTGCTTAGCCACCAATGCCTGATTAAACATTTGCCTAGACCACCCTCTGACTTTGCACGACACACCTTCTGCCACCTAACCCAGTGAATCTTTCTCTTACTAGAAGTTGATCCCCACCAGAATCTCATAATGATAGACTCAATCTCCCTGCACAAAGAAATTAGAATGCAAAAGATACTCATCACATAGCATGGGATCGCCTGCAAAATTTTTAACTTTCACGATAACCTCTCGCCCTCCACCTGAGAAAAGTGCCCTCCTCCAAGCTTGGACTCTTTTCCAAATCGAGTCTCTGATTGAAGCAAAAGTCTGACGACGGCTTCTTCCAACCACCGAAGGGAGGCCTAAGTACCGATCATGTGACTGAGCCCTATCAAGCCCCAAGATAAAAAATATAGGCCCTAGTATCCTCATCTACACTGGGGTTAAAGGTGATGTCAGACTTCTGATAGTTAACTTTCTGACTGGTTATAGCCTCATATAGTAGCAGAGTACTTTAGACAGTCTATGCAGTGGCCTGGGAAGCCTGAATAAAAACCAAAGAGTCATCTATAAAGAACAAGTGAGAAATCCTTAGCCCCGACTGGGAATAAGATAACCCTCTGATGCACTTGTTCTCCTCCTGTCTGACGATCAGTGCCGAGAGAGCTTCCGTGCAGAGAAGAAACAAATATGGAGGTAATAGGCATCCTTGTCGCAGACCACGAGTAGGAGTGACCTGACCCACAATCTGCCCATTAAGGTAGAAAGAGAGTGAGGAAGTAGAGATACAGTCCAAGATGAGATGCCTCCAATAATCTAGAAATCCCATGACCTAAAGAACCTTGTCAATAAACCCCAATTCCACTCTATCATATGCCTTACTCATATCCAATTTCAGTGCCATATGGTCAAACTGACCCCGTCTCTTTTTTTGTAATGTGTGGAGAAGTTCAAAAGCAATAATGACATTATCCTGAATTGATCTCCCTGGGACAAAGACACTCTGAAAGCATCCGATCAATCCGCCAAGAACTCTCGTAGTCGCCCTCTCCAGGGTTTTGAAAATCCTAGTTTTCAGTTGGCTCTCTCTCTCTTGTAGCTCCCCTCTCTAGGATTTTGAAAACCCTAGATCTTAGTCCATTCCTTTTCCTCTCTGGAAGCGCGTAACGCTTCTCTCCCCCTTCCTCGTGACGGATCTCCATCGGCACGATCGTCTCTTTTCATTTTTTTTCTCTAGTCGGTTTCTACAATCTTTGTGAGGCACGACCCTTCCTGTCTCACTCCGATAGTTTTGTGGTGAATTATTTGGCGAGATCTGAGTCTCGTCCCCAACCCTCACGACAGTCTTTGGGGTTTCCCACATCTCGGCCTCCGAGATAGCTATCTCTCGGCTCACATGAATGGCATCGCCGTTTCATATTTATTTAACAGCGTCATTGTTTCATATTTAATTAACGACATCACCGTTTCATATTCAATTAACGACATCGTCGTTTCAGAACCGCCTTTCAGTCTCCAATTAACGGCATCGCCGTTTAAGCCGTCTCTCAGACTCAAATTAACGGCATCGCCATTTTAAGACCGTCTATCGGTCTCATATTAACGACATAACCGTTTCAAGCAGCCTCTCGGCTCCAAATTAATTTAGAACATGGCGAGAATTGATGATGATGGGCTGACCGAGCTTTGTGTCAAATACAGCTTAGACGACGAAGATGACCCTATTTTTCTGTCAACTAAGGACCAGACAGATTCACCTTCCCTTAACAACTATCTCTTGTTGGAGGTTTTGGTAGGAAGATTGCTAATAGAGATGGTCTTGAGTGTGTCCTTAGGAAGACATGGATTGTAGATGCCCCCTTTCTGGTGGAACATTACAGTGGAAGGAATCCTTTATTGGCCTTCTTGTTTTGATGATGTTTAACAAGCAATTTACTTCTAATGTTGTTTGTCTAGTGTTTGTATTTTT